TCTTTAAAGATCTTCTCATGAGGAATCTAGAAAGACAAGAGGAAGAGTGAAAAGTATAAATCACATATAGAGATCCTTACCTTTGAGTAACCTTATGAACCTTTCACACTCCACTAGCAGGAAATCTCTCTCAAACACTCTCTCTTTCAATTGCCCTTGAAAATTCACATTGACAGGATTAGAAGAAGTATTCACGTTAGTTTTAGATGGAACTTTTATACAAAAGACACGAAAAATTGTCCAGAAAAATGAATTTTTCAATTTATAGTGTACACGTTCGTACAGTACGGTCGTATGTTCATACGTACGAACAATTTAAATACTATTGTGTATGAACTTGTTGTGAATATATACGAAATCATTTCGTACGTGATCATTGTCTGATACAAAAAAAATTTGTTCGGGACGAACCGTCAGGACGAAATGAGCAAGAACAGACTCGAGACATTCGTCCTTATACGAAATGGGGATCGTCCCATATGATCCATACTTAGAAAAAAGATTTCGTGTCAGCACAGACCGAGACATTCATCCTTGTATGAATCATGGATCATCTCGTACGATCTTCATCTGAGAACAAACCTAAGACGTTCGTCCCTGTATAAAAACTGGGATCATTCCGTATGATCTTCATGCAAGAACAAAATAGAGGCTTTCGTCCCTGTATGAAAACTGAGATCGTCCCGTACGATCTTCATACGATAACAAAATAGAGGCGCTCGTCCTTGTACAAAAATTGGGATCATCCCGTACGATCTTCGTGCAAGAACAAAACAAAGGCGTTTGTCCCTATATAAAAATTGGGATCGTCTTGTACGATCCATACTTAGAAAAAATATTTCATTTTTGTTCGTTTAGTTGCTCACCGGGAGGAATAACCGACCAGATCGTCCCGTACTAAGTGATAGCGTACAGTACGATCAGTTTGAAAATATGAATTTTAAAACTCTCCCCCCGATGTGTGTGCTCAGTTACTCAATTACAATTACACTCTCTCTGATTCAATAAAATGAAAAATACACTTCAATTACAATAAACTCTAAACTGATCTTGATTTGAAGTCTTCAGCAATTCAGAGTATGATTTTTCTAAAATGTTAGTACACACAAAAGCAAAATAATTTTTCCAAAATATGTTAGGAGAAATAATTATCAAATCAATATTATTTGGAATCATAAAAAACATACAAGTTGCAAGTATATAAAAACATGCAAAACTAAGTAGCAACTATCTCAACAATTACAACATAGAAGGCATATAGGGGGAAATTGAGGTTGAAAGCTCTATATCAAGTACCATGAGATCACCACTTTGAAGGACTTCAAGGATGACTTTGATGGCATACTTCTTCAAGCTGAGGAGCTGGGTAGCAAAAATTTAAGATCTAGAGTTTATTTTTATCTGACACAAATTTGAAGTCTATAATAATAGTTTATTCACTAATTTATTATTTATTCTTTGTTGATGTCCAACTTATAAAAGCCTTCTTCCATATGTTTATTGCATAATGCAATATTTATGATGGTAGAGAGTTGGTTTATCATATTACTATCGAATGAAAAACTTGCACAAATGTAAATAGGTTGAGAGAAATTTCTAAGAGTCATAATATTTTATAAATGAAAATTTTGACAAGAGAAAATTCATGAGGCTTGATTTAGTTGAAATAATTATACTAATGTGAGTTGATATTACAAAGAACACCTTTTTTTATAATTGGCAAAGATATTAATATAATATAGTAGACATAAACTATGAGTAATCTCTCTTTTGGTTAAGAGTCTTGACCAACTTTTTATGTTGTCATCAAGTGGTGGTGTGTGGTTATATTATCATGACATTAAGAGAGGTTAGGATATCAAAATTATGGGCTTATGTTGGTAGGTAATGGGCGTCGTATGTTGGTTATTGATATAGAGAAGTAATATCAATGGTTGGCTTGTTAGTACCCTTCTTATATAAGAGGAGATCTGAGCGACCTAGAATATGTGTTTCTTATATTAGTAGTTGATGAATATTGATCATTAGTAGGTGATGATGATAAGATATGCTAGAAGTATGGTGATGCTAGATCAATGATTATCTTGGTCACACTCCTTATAGGAGGGAGGATTAGGCAACGAAGAAAGCTTGCATTAAATTTTGGTGGCTAATAAATGTTAAATGTTGCTTATTGCTCGTCCCAAACAAAGTGTTAGAAATTGGGTAACCTTTCATGTTTAACTTTGTTATTCCTATTAAAAGAAAAAAGATCATGCGACTTGGAAGGTACACATCTAATGCTAGTGGCTGACGAACTATGCGTTGAGCGATGGCCAACAATGAACATTGGAGGTTAGGCGACTCTATGCAGTTTGAACTAACCATTCTCCTTATAGGATGGGAAACCTGACAATTTGGAATGATTGCATTTAATGTTAGTAAACGCTAGATATTAATCTTTAATAAGCATTTGAAAATAGGTAATAAGGAATGTTGCAGGTTGAGATACATTAATCATCCCATCTCAATCATTTTCCTTATAAAATTACAAACTAGGCGATCGAGAAGGCTTGCATCAGACATTGGTAATTGATGGACATCAAGAGTGTCAATATTTGGTATGCATTAGATGACATTCGATGGAGAGTGCTAGAGGTTAAACAACATATGGTAATATGGTTCATTCTCTTTATAGGAGGGGATTGACTAAGAAGATGAGCTCACAGATTTTAGGGACGACTAATACTTTTTTTTTGTAGCCCAATATTTACTACTATCAAAAGAACGACCATGCTAACTGCCAACATTGCCTGAAAATAGCTCTAGAATCTCAAGACTATTACTACTATTACAAGAAATATCTTTTGTAGTTTATATTTCTTATGTTGTACTAACATTTTCTCTAACTTTAGAAAACTCTGCCTTTTATAATCCTCAACTCATAATACTAAAACTTTTTCAATTTAGTTAGGCCTTATGTTTGTCCCCCCTTTTTGAAATTTTTTGCATAAAAAGTCTCCTATCTTTGTAGGAGGTGCCCTAAAGTTATTCGTGTGGGTGACATATTTTTGTTAATGCTATAACAATCAAATCTCCTTTTATCATCACAAATATTTCAAAATACAATAATACCTTATTATTATCTATGTATAAGCATTATTAAATAACCATCTTAATATCAAGAATTCCTGAAAATAGAACATAAAATTATTTAAATTTATTAGAATAATGCTTTGTAAATAAACAAGAAATAATCTTAAACAAACAAAAATTGTTTGATCATCTTTGATTTCTTTCTCTTATTCCACCTCCTTCAGAAAACTTTCTTTTTTTATTGTTTAAAATCAAACAAAATATTTAGATAGGGAGAGAGAAAGAAGAGGAGTGTTAAATAAAAATAATAATAATAATAAAAAGAGGAGTGTTAAATAATGAAATTTTCAATATTGCGTGAAGGCTCAATTTTAAAGCCATATAACTATGAACTTTTTGCTCAACATTTACAAGAAAGCTATAAATTAAAGAAATTAAGACAAGAAAGTGAAAATTTACAATCACATAAAAAGGATATAAAACATTTCTATAAAAAATGCTAAAGTTTACAATTTTTGTATACAAAATAAAAAATGCTAAAACATTTCTATAAAAAATCACACTTTTGCATTTTCAAATTAAAAATGTGAAAATTATGGAAAATCTTTGCTTTGATTTTCAAACTTAAAATTATATGAACATGTATAATTACAAATATTTTCTTCATATGCTAACAAGGATTACTATATATTACTATTTTATAGCTATTAAAACATTAATTTGCTTGAAACTTAGGTTTCGTTTGGGACAACTTTTTTATTGCTTTTTAAAGCAGTTTTCTAGTACAAAAATTAAATTTTTTGTACTAAAAAGCTGTTTTAAAAAGCAGTAAGAAAGCCATCCCAAACGAAACCTTAGATTAAATTTGACACAACGAAAAATTAAGGTTCTAAATTAAGATTGAATGGGTTGATCAGACTGCAAATCGATCCTTCGGTGAGTCCAATTCAATGATAACAATCTAGTTGCCTAAAAACTAGAAAAAAAATGAGAAGATAATTAGATGATTGAATCATCAAATCATAGAAAATGTATCAATTTAAGGGAGTTAAGCATTTCATTTAATTGGAATTGGCACGCTAGATAGAGAAACTAGAGAGAGAACAACACGCTAGAGAGAGAAACATCAGGTTTTTTCAAATTTCGATTTCGCGGTTTTTCCGCTAACCACATCGCCTGGAGTTGGCGATGACGGTGGAGGGCCACCCACCATCGGTCGGTGGACTGAACATTTCAGGAGACTCGGATGGACTTTTGGGAACGAAGGAAGAACGGAGTCGGTTGCTTTCTAGCTAGATTTATAAATTAGTATCATTTTTTTTAATATTTAAATTTCATCAAACAACTTAAAGAAGACTATATAAATTATGTTAATATGATTAAAATTTATAAATCCAATTACACCTAATATTAAAACTATATTGTTAATTCATTTGCATCAAACAAGAATTAGTTCGACTAAATTAAATCTCAATTGTTGCTCGAATAAAATAAATAAATAAATAAATAACTTTGAATAAAATTTTAAAATTTGAATCATATTCAACCCAAATTCAATAAATAAATAAAGAAATAAAATTTAAATAATTTAATATCCAATTCTACTATATTTCATTTAAAAATGCTAGGCTATGGCTTCATTTGGGATGATTTTATTTCAAACAACTTTTTAGTACAAAATTTTTTGGATTAAAATTTGTTAATAGAAAATTTTTTTAAAAATACATAAAGAAAAACGTCCCAAATCAAGGAAAAATTATTCTTTGCGGACACCGAACGCCTTTCGGAGTCAAATCAGAGCGCGTCACGTCATCTTTTTTGGTGTAATGCAGCTGTGTACCGTTATGTACTAGATGACATGACATGCTCTAATTCGCCTCCAACAATTCGATCTTTGCATAGAATAATCTCCCAGCCAAATCTCAATTCCTTGAGAAATTAATATAAGTATTCTTCCAAGTAGCTTAGCTGGTAGCATTCTAGGGTTTTGAGAATTGTGTTGAGCATTACATATATTGAGGTCTCCCATATCATCCGCCTTTATTTCTGGCGGTTGGGAGTTCAGAAGGAGCAGACGTCGTGAGCTCATCTACCGCATCGGAGTTCTTCTCCGGCCAGCCATCATGGTAACCCTTTCCCCAGCCTCCTAGTTTGAACTCGGTGTCCTTTTCTTTTTGCAAACTGTGCTGACCGTGCTCCTGAACAGGTTAAATACTCGAGGGAATCCTCGAACCCCACCAAGTGTAAGCTTTCTTCTTCAATTCTCATGATTATTTTCTCATCTCTTGTTATTGAGTGATGCGTCTAATTCTCGATCTCTTTTGCAGCCGCGAAAGCTATGGGCAGGGACCTCAGGGTTCATTTCAAGGTTCGTTTCGTTAGTTTCTTGTCCTGTATAGGCTAGATCTTCCATTTAGAATTGATGATTTTGTGACTTTGTGAACGGGCCTTTGACGTAAGTTGCATACCTTTTAGCATAATTGCTCAAAAGGAGCAATGCTACGTAGTCACTTGGATTCTGATGCATTTATTTGTTCTATACATGATGCTTAAAAAGGAAATTTTCAATGGACTTATGTTCCCTTGGCTTAATATTAGAAATTTATAAGAAGAAATTGCTAATAAATAAATGTATATTGCAGAAGTGTTTGTATGCCATGGTTATTGCTACTTATTTTGGAAGACTGTTGATTCCGTATTATATATAGTGGCTGGTTGGGTGCACTAGTTAAATTGCTATGCTGTACCAAAAGTTCGAGTTGTATACTTAAGTTGGAAGATAACATTAAGGCATGAAGACTCAAAATTGATGGTGATGAAGGCAAAAGACTCACCTGTTTATAATAATGTGCCAATTCATGAAAACAAAAAAATTCAATCAAAACCATAATCTGATTATTATGATTTTCTTAAATCACTTAAAATTTTGATTTCTATGACATATTCTAAATGCAATGCAACATTTATGACTTATAATCTTTGACAAGAGTCACAAGACTCATTTAAGTAGTATAATATAAAGTAATGTGTGACATTCACAAAGAATACTTTGGATAGAAAGGTTATAGATTACTATTTCACGCTATAATGAAAAACTTAACATTGTGAATAAAGACAAAAATAATTCATATGCATGAGTTGAAAAAATTTGATGAATAACGTAATATATATATATAATACACTGATATTTATTTGTTGTAATGCACACCTTGTGCATCAAGTAGCGGGCACTATAGCAATGCGGGTAAGATCAGGTTGAAAATTTCAAAAAAAGATGAAGCATGTGGGCAAGTGTGACTTGTTTCCCTTTCCAATGAAAGATTAAGAACATGATGATCACAACTAACTCTTAACAATCGAATACATCAAATAATGTTAACTCCAATTAAAATAATTAAGTAAAATAATGATGGCCTGCTAGCATTTAACATAAATTATTCAGCAAATGCCAAAACTAACCATCTAAAAGATAGGGAAAAGATTTTTCAGAAGGCTACATATGATTTTATAGGTTCTAGCTTGAGGTAATTGACACTTGGGAAATTGTGCTGCTATGGTGCTCGAATGTAATCACCATTTTACAATGTTGAATACTTGAATCCCTAGAAGGTATATCGTGTTCTCATGGTGTCTCGCTTGGATGATGGTGGCATTAGCGCCTCAACAACTATGGGTCATGAAACCAAGTTCAAAAGCATTATCTTTACTAATTCAAGGGTAAGGCTGTGTGCCTGAATGTCTCCATAACCCATAGAATCGTAATGCATATGTGCTATCCTGAATCCTACACGTTTAGATCAATTGAGAAAAATAAAAATGGTTTTCATCAGAATGTGCTGCTTTCTTTTTCTACCTGATTCTTCCATTGTGAAGAGTTTTTTATGTTGCTTTTGTACCCTTAATCTAAGTTTTAGGTCACAGCATTTACCCTTCAAGGGATTTGAAAATTATTTGAAGTGAATGGCTAGAAATCAGAATGGACAATCTTTTAATTTTTTTAATCTGTGCTGAAGGGGAAATTTAGTTTTATAGTCTTAATAAAAAGGAATGCTTCATGTCTTTTTTTCTGTTTTAATGTTTGAAGTTCTATTTTTCTTCCATCCTCCATGAATTCTTAGTGATGAGGTCCTTTGTGTTCAAATAATGAAGCATAGTTGTATATTGAGATAGGTTATTTGTGAACCTTCTCAAAACTCTGTATGCTAATGGGGATATAGTTAAGTTTTAGAGTCTTTAAGTTTATTTTTGACATAAAATGTTGATAGGTAAAACTTTTAGGTTTTGGATTTGGATAAATGACGCTGTTTAAGCTTCAACCAAGATTACATTGTTTGAAGGCTCGGTGAAGATAATGATAATGATTGATGGAGAGTGCTTAAGAAAAAAATTGATGGAGATAATTTAAACTAGAATTTGATGAATGATTGATTATAGCAATAAGTTTACCTTTGGTGGATGTGGCTTCCTGGCTTTCTCATTCTTGTATTGTTTCCTATTTTTCTTAATCTTCTTCTACTTGTTTTCTCCTTATATTTCTTTGTTTTGCTTTAGAATTAATTCATTTCTTTCCTTTAAGCCAGGTGGTATTGTAGAGTATAGATTTGAGGATATGTTTACAAGATAGAAACCTTAAAATTAGTAAAAAAAATTGTGCATGTGATATGTCATTTTAGTGATTATGATGTTAAAAATTATCATTCTTTATTATTAGAAGATATGGTGATTCCTTGGTTTGATAAGTTCAAGTATCTTTCATCTTTTTTTTTTGAGGAGAAAGTATCTTTCATCTATTATGCAGAATAATAGAAATATAGATGAGGACATAACTTCTAGATTTTAAATGGTATATGAAGAATTTTCTTGCAATTTTTGTGTGATAAGAAGATATAATGGAAAGTTATAGGTAAATTTTATGGAACTACAAATTGGTCAACAATGTTGTGTGAATTTGAATGTTGGTTACAAAATAGTCATTGATATATAAGGTTATTATGATAGAAATGGGAATATTAAGTTGGATGTGTGACAAAATTAGAAAGGGCACATTAATGATTTATTATATTAAAAGAAAGTTGGGAGTGATATCTATTGAAGATAAGAAGATTGAAAATAAATCAATTGAAGATAAGGAGATTGACTGGTTTGTTCTTGTACAATGAAGGATAGAAATTGTGATTGTTAGATAAGTTGATAAAATTAGTGTTAGTGGATTAAGAAGGAAAATGGATAAATCTATTACATAGTTGGAATTTGGTCAAAGTAATCTATAAGGAATAGGTTTTATACAAACGGTATTCAACAAGAAGAATAAAAAATGAGTATTCATATCAGCTGACACAAATAGTTAAGATAAGACTAAAGATGTTGGTGATTAAATTGGTATTCTAATATCCATATAAAATGCATTGTAAAGGAATACAAATAATGAGTCTATTTGTTTGCTATAATTTAAAAAAAAAATATAAATCTAACTAATTATATCATGAAATTTAGAACTATAAAAGGTTAATCTCCTACCATTTCTTATTTTTGACCTCTTTTCTAACCAGTTTCAACAATTTATTAATAGAAATTAAAAAAAATCTTAAGATAAGTTGATTGGTCAGTAGAATGAAATCTTATTATTTTCAAATATGGAGGAGTTAGTTGGACTAGAAAGAGGAGATAGGAAATGGCAACATAAACTTCTTATGTGGCTTTGTATGCTTCCATGCAATTCATGCATTTTTCCATTCAATTTTTATACAACTTTGTTTAGCTAACTCTAGGTAGGCTTATTCCATTCAAGTTGGTATGCCTCCTTTCTAGGTTCGGTTTGCCTATTTTATTTTGCATGGTCTTTGACCCTTTCTGCATCTTAATCTAATTTGGGTGTGACTCACCCTATTTAAGTCCATTCTGTTTGATCAACCCATGAACTAGATTATTGGTGTAAGTTAGCCGAGCCTACTTGTTGAACTTGACACATTAATAAGCTTGCCAATTAACTCAATAAAGCTTATCAAGTTCAAGCTCATCAAAACTCAACTCATTGGCTCGCGAGCTGGCTCAAATAAATTATAAATCTTAAATTATATTTTTTTTCAGCAACTTAATTTCAACCTATCATTGATATCGTTGATGCCTTCGAGTATTTGAACCCAAGTTCTGTCTCACGAACTCCTCATACAATGCACTAGTCCCTTTGATGCCTTCTCCATCCACACTTATCTTGTTGATGCTTTCTTGAGTTAGCTCCCATTGTGATCATGGTTGTTGGTCCCGTCGATGCATTCTCCTAGGAGTTCTTGTCGGAAATCAACTCGTTGTTGATGCCAGCTTTTGTGAGTTCCCTTTTAAGATTGCTCTGGTGAGGTCCCATTGTGATCCCATTGGTTCCTTTGACGTCCTCGCCATTGATGCATTTACTGCGTTGGCTTGAGCTCACGAGTCAAGATTGAGTCGGTTATTAGCATCGATTAAAAAGGCGTTCGAGGCGGACGCCTCGAGGCGCGCCTCGAATCAAGGCGGAGGTCGGGCGAATTGAGGCTTAAGCCTCGAACGTCCGGGCGAGTGATGTAAGCAACTTGAAGCAAAACACAAAGAGAGAATGACAAAGAGAATCAAGACTCACTTTTAGAAATTTAAGACACCACTTGGAGAACAAAATAGACTAGATAAAACGATTGAAATTTAGATTAGACAAGAGCCAATCATCCAACAAACCCAACAAAAAAAGTTAGCAAAAGAAACAAAACAAAATTAAAAAAAATGCTATCCTCAGAACATCCTACAAGAGGACTCCTCACATGCACCGATTGTAGGAATATATATTAAAATAAGGTTTAGATATGCAAACCAAAGGGTCCACCACTGCAAAGGGGTTCCAATCCAAACTCCTCTAGCAAATGCCACCAAAACAGCCAACAACTTCACCAAAACAGC